TCTTCTCCTCCTGCCTTCAGTCTTTCCCAGCATCAGGGTGTTTTTCAATGAGGCTCTTCACCTCAGTGGCCAAAGTAATGGAGCTTCAGCTTCAGTCCTTCCAGTGAATATTTATGGTTGATTTCCTTCTGTATTGACTAGTTTGATCTCCTTGCTGTTCAAGGGAATCTCAAGAGTCTTCTCCAGCACCACAGTTTGAAAGTATCAGTTCTTTGGCGCTCAGCCTTCTTTAGGGTCCAACTCTCACATCCATACATGACTGCTGCAAAAACCATAGCTTTGTCTATACGGACCTTTGTTGGCAAAGTGATGTCTCTGCTTTTTAATATACACTCTAGGTTTGTAATAGCTTTTCTTCCAAGGAGCAAGTGTCTTTTCATCTCATGGCTGCAGTCACTGTCCACAGTGATTTTGCGGCACAAGAAAATAGTCTGTCACTGTAGTCTAAAAAGCATGACATTTTTATGTATACAAGTGTTTTGGAGATTGTTTTTTGTTATTTAAACAAGTAGTTTCCTCCTTGAAGAATTTGTTTAATGAATGATGCATCATTTCAGTCTGTGTGTAGATAAAGATACAGTGTGTAGATAAAGAATGGGCTCAATTAATAATTATTGTTATTTTTATGACTTTTAGAGATTTTTATTTTAAAGCATTTTGATTTTTGGTGAAAACTAAAATTTTGATTTCTTCTACCACTGTTGGAAGTTAAGTATTCATAAATTAGCTTGTGAATTGCTTAAGCTTACTCTTCCCATTCATTGACATGTTTACATTTATAATATTGATGTTGCATTAATAGTGTTTTGCTTAATTTCGCTTCCTTATAAGTCTAGCATATTAATTAACTGTGTGTGTGTCTGTGTGTGTGGTATGAAGAGGAGTCAGTATAGTTTCTGCACTCAAGGGTTGATGTCATGTGTGCAGAAGCGATGGCAATGGAGTAGTGATTCAAAAGCCTGAGGAGCCAGCCCCACTTCTTAAAACAACTGTTTGATGTCCCTAGTTTTTTAAAACAAGTATCAAGAATTGAAGTGCTGATGTCCATAGAGATATAACTTCTGGACATATTCATGTGAAATAATTTCGTGTTTCTGAGCTGTTTCACAGCAGGGAGGTTTTGTGTTGGTGAGTCAGCTGCCCTTTTCTTTTGCTATGTTGTGTACACTTCTTATTACATTTCCCACATCTCCTATGATTACCTGTTTATGTGCTTCTCCTCCCTGTGATTGTTGTTTAAGTTATTTACATTCACATTGCTCCTTTATTTTTGTATCACTGACTTGCTCTTTATTTCTTTTTGTATATTTGGTATTCCATTTCCATCAATTCTGCACGAAAAACCTCTTTTGACACTTTTTGTAGTGGAAGTCTGCTGTAGACAGATTCTCTCAGCTTTTGCCCGCCTGCAAATGTCTTTATTTTGCTTCTGTTTATGAAAAGTGTTTTTACTAGACACTGAATTCTAGGGTGAGATTATTTTTCTTTCAGTTCCTCAATGATGCCATTCGGTTGTCTTTTGCTGGCATTGTTTCTGGTGAGAAATTTGTATCATTTTTGTTCTGTATATAATGTCTTTTTTTCTTTGGCTGTATTTTTATGGTTTGCCCTTTATTTTTACTTTTCAGTAGTTTGACTGTGAAGTTCCTATGTATGGGTTTTTGGTTTGCTTGTTTTGTTTTTTTTCTGGGGATTGCTGAGCTTCTCTGAATTGATATACATATATGTATATATCTATATCTATATTTATAATACTCTTTCTCTTCTGCTGGGGACCCCAGTTACACTTGTGTTACAACATTTCATATTGTATCATGAATATTGGTTATTCTGGTTTTTTTTGTTTGTTTCAGTTTGAATACTTTCTATTGATCTGTGTTTAGGTTCACCAGTTCTTGGCAATGTTCAGGTTCTTTTTAAGCCCACCTAATGAATTCTTTATTTCTAATACACTTTTCATTCTAATAGATTAAAAAAAATAGTGTCCATGATTTGCTACTGAAATTCCCCACTGCGTGGTGGTAATTCCATTATATCCTTTACCATTATTTTAATAAATCTTCTTTTAAATAGTCTGTCTAGTAATTCTGCCCTCTAGGCTGTCTCTCGGTCACTTCTTTTGACTGCGGGCCATATTTCTTGCTCCTTTGTGTTTAGCAGCATTTGATTTTGTGGTGGACATTTTATTTAATTACAGTAGAAATTAAATAATATTTGCTTCCAAGAGAGGGCATGCTCTTCTTTCAAACTCTTGGAATGGGGGCTGTGTCTCTGTGATTTCTAGTTGAGCTGCGTTTGCTTTTCCTGCTGCTTGAGTTTTATTCAGCTTGTCTGTGGCCTCAAATGCTTTGTGGACTTGGGATCTGAGTGCTAATGAGAATCTGGCAATTTACTTTTTGGCATTAACAGTTGAACTTTGGCTTTGGAAACCATGGAATATCTCTTTCTGCTTTAAAGTCTTGATGCCCATTTTTAGGATTTCTGTAGTGTTCTTTTTTTGTTTTCAGTTCCATTGCTGGCTCTCTTTCTTCAGAGACTTGGTATCCTGCCCCCAGCCTTCAGATAGCAGCTGGCGTTTGCTTTCTGAAGGTCTGGGTTTTTCTCAGGTCTTCTGGCTGGTCCAGAGGCTTTGGCAGGCAGCTGCTTTGCACTGGGAGAGGCCTCTCCCGCCTCAGGGAGCATCCCCGTGTTCGGCTTTCGGCATCTACGTCCTGCAGTGTGTGAAGACTTGAGGGAAAGCGTTGGTCAGAGGGTGCAGACTAGCTCTGTGGCTGGGACTTCCTGACCCAGGACCTGGAAGTCTAATCTCTCATGCCAGTGCTCATGTCGCTGTCAATAGTTCGTTAAAAACTTGGCTGGTTTCTCTTTGCCTTTCTGCATTTGTCCTTCTTCTGCAGCTGTCGTCAGGGACGAGAGCACTCTGTTTCCTCCCAGTGTTTATTTGTGCTGGTTCCCTTGTGTCCTCAGCTTCCTGAGGTCAGCTTCCTGATGGGTTGAAAACAATAGTGAGAAGAATTCTGTAGGGTGTCTGGCTTGTTTTGGTTGTTAGGATGAGAGCAGTGGTGGTGTTGACTACTCTGTAATCCTGCCAGAAGCTGTCGTGTTATTAGTACTTTAACGTTTAGTTTGTGTTAGATGGGCCATGTGTGAGTATATATAGTACATGGTATTTTTCCTTAGGATTATCTTTAAAGTGAATTTAAAGGCCTGTTTTGAAAGACAAGTGTTATTATCTTTGCATATTATTATTTGAAGGCTTCCCTTGTGGCTCAGCTGGTAAAGAGTCCTCGTACAATGTGTGAGACTTGGGTTCAATCCCTGGGTTGGGAAGATACGCTGGAGGAGGGCATGGCACCCACTCGGACATTCTTGCCTGGAGAGTCTCCATGGACAGAGGAGCCTGACTTGCCGCAGTCCATGGGGTTGCAAAGAGTTGGACATGACTGAGCATCTAAGCACAGAACGTTATTATTTGCAAAAAATCCTATTTCTTTAGTGAAGTGAATAATCAATACTGTGACTTACTGTCTTTTTAAATAGGGAATTTAAGTGTTATGCTTCTTTAATGGGCCCTAGTAGCTCTATTCAGTAGAGCCTCTGTTATGATAGAAGTGTACTTTATACACTTTGACCAATACGGGAGCCACTAGTCTCTTGTGGTTCTTGAACACTTGGTATGTGACTCAGGCAGCAAAGGAACTGAGTTTTAAAATTTAATTTACGTTTAAATAACCACACGTGGCTGCCATAGTGATCAGTACAGGTTTATGTACTACACATATATATATGGTGAAAACAGTAGCTTAATGTGTGCACAGTTATTCTGAACAGTTCCCGAATCATAGTGTTTTTAAGTACCCTTCTTTCCCTTTTTGATGGTTACCACTTGAAACACTGTGTATGTCTGGATTCTCTGTGAGGAACAGAACTTGCTAAATTCACGCTGTTTTCAATGAATGAACAATTAGCTTTGTAAACTAATCTATGCATTTTCAAATATCTGTGAACTATTTGTTGATACAGTTGTAGAAGAAATCTCATTGCAATAAAAATCCAGTTTTATTTCTTGAGGCTTCAGTCTACTCTGTGGTGGTGGTGGTGGTTTAATCGCTAAGTTGTGTCCGATTCTTGTGACCCCGTGGACTTGTGAGCCCACCAGGCTCCTCCGTCCATGGGGTTCTCCTGGCAAGAATACTGGAGTGGGTTGCCATTTCCTTCTCCAAGTCTACCCTGTAGTTGTTCATAAAGTTCAAATACAGACTAATCTGAGTAAAGAGAAATGTGATGTCTCTCAGGTCAAGCTATGGAGATGTAAGTAAAATTGAGTTCTCAAGGTGCCTAAATCACGTCCGCCCATCCCCTCCCAGTTCGAGTGTAGTATGTGCTATGAAAAGGACGCTGGGGGAGGGGACTCGAGGGTGAACTCTGAGTACCAGTGTGATTGCCAGCCACCAAATGAGCTGGGCTTCCCTCGTGGCTCAGTCGGTAAAGAGTCCACCTGCAGTGCAGGAGACCTGGGTTCGGTTCCTGCGTTGGGAGGATCCCCTGGAGAAGGAAGTGGCAGCCCACTCCAGTGTTCTTGCCTGGAGAACCCCATGGACGGAGGATCCTGGCGGGCTACAGGCCATGGAGTTGTAAGAGTCAGACACGACTGAGTGACTAAACCACCAAATTAGCTAAATTACCTTTGTAAAAATGCCTAATTTGTTAATCTGTAGCAAAGGTCATTTATCATTAGAGTCTTCATTCTATAATCTTAAGATTGGAAGGAATCTTTTGAGGTTGTCTCTCCTGCCTTCAGACAGGATGGTTATGAAGACTTCACTTATTTTTATATTTATTATTTCTTTTAATCTTAAATTTTACATGCTAAATTGAATGCCTCCTGATGAAATCACAGTGATGATATAACTGACCCTGTTTTTTCCTTTTGGAAATTAAATAAGTGTTGTTGAGAAGGGAATACTTACATATGTGCTTTATTTTATCTTTCTTCATAGATGGATAGATTTGCCAGCATAAGAATTCCAGGGAGCAAGAAAGAGAGGCCTCCACTTTCCAACCTGAGGACTGCGTTTTCAAACAATGATTGTTCTTCAGAAATGAATGAAAACATTCCAAAACCACTGTCCGAGAAGGAGATTTTAGAGCTTTTTGAAAAGATGATGGTAAGAACTTTGATTCATTATAAAATGTTTGATGTAAAAACCTTAGCTTTGGCTTATGTTCATGGAACTAGACGTGTCTGAAACTTAGGTTCCATAGGTTATTTCTGATGTCATTAAGATAGCACTCAAGGCATAGAGAGTTTTAGGATTACAAAAATAAGAATCTGAAGGAAAGTGTCATGCCAGTTGTTTTACACAGAAGTACATAAAAACATAAACCCTCTAAAGTATCAAATGATATACCTTTATCTTAAATAGATTATCTAAGTGGTGTGTCTGGCTCGGTTGCATTGAGAAGGACAGTCATAGTTCTTTGCTGTGTGTGTTGTTAAGTGTGCTGACTTTTGGACCTTGTTTGAGCTCTTAGTTCTCACAGTAACCATGTTTACATAGTCCTGCAGCAGTTAAGTCTGCAGACACTTGAACTCACTTGCTTTGGGGTATGCCTCTGTAACTTCTATAACCATGAGTTAATATAATTTCAGTCTAGAACAAAGAATGTAACCTTTTTTTTGTTAGCCTTTGCATCTGTTTATGAGACTTGTATAAGGCAGATTTCTTCAAGACTGCCGTTGAGGACTCAAGATAATAAAGTGCCCCCTCATTCATGCATCGTGTGTTTGAGCTGCTGCCTGAATTGTCTGTGAGATTCTGGAATGGTGCTGTTTTGGTGCACCTTGTTCAGACAGTTTCCTCCTTGTATCAGAGTTGCTGGTGTCATCTGAGTAAGTGGAGCAAGTGGGCCAGTGACGGACATTCGCGAAGGCTCACCACACGCTGTTAAAGTGTAACCACAGAGGAAGTGCAGAACGTAGTGGATGGTGTTCTGTTCTGAACATGATGACTTTAGAAGTGTTTTTCTGTTAGTCTTACACTTTTCCTAGCTAAGAGTATTAGTTTATTTATATGAACAGGGCAGATGGATATTGGCATCTTTGAAGTGTTTACATATTTAATAACTGGACCAGATCACTTTTTAAACCTTAAACAGGTCTCCCTGTTGGCAGAAGATCTTTTGCAGTCAAACTCACTTTACTCAGCAGAAGTAAAGTGAATTATTGCTTTCTTAGGACTGTCAATTTGCTAAATGAGTGAGTTTGTCACAGCTAAAGACTTTAAAAGAAATAAGGACTGGGTTCTTCTTTTCCTTTCTGATACCTTGACAATATCACAATACATTGCAGGGAGAACTTGGAGATTCTAAATCTGGGAAGGGCCTTTCTCCTCCTTTAAATCTGAACTCAACTGGTGTTTCTCAGGCTTGTCAAGCGGATTATCACATCTCTGACACATTTAAAGCTGTTTCTAGGTCTGGGGAGGATGCTAAATTTAGGTTGGGGTTTATTTTTGGCTTTGCCTATCTGTACCATTTTTATTAATCAAAATCCTTCAGAGGCAGCAACGTTGAATACTCTGCATTTTTGTATTTTGACATTTGACAAAATGAGGTTTCATTTATTTTTTTTTGAGGTTTCACTTAAAAGTTGTGTCTAGATTCTTTGTCTTGGCATTGTACAGTTTAAAAAACTTATGTAATCTTCTCAGAGGTACTTAGATGATTTTTTTTGCATGAAGTAAAAACTTTGTTTTGAAGAACACCTCTTTTTCCTCCTCACGATGGTCCTTTGATAGACAGTTTGCTGACTTGATTGCTTAATGAATGTGAAGTACAGTATCATCCTTCAACATTCATACTTATTTCACTTTTATTTAGAAAATGATTTAGTTGGTCTCTGGTTTTAGTGCACTTTTAAAAAGTAATGATGAGTTTTTAGTTCTGCTACTTCTTAAGGGCTTTTTTTCTGACATTTTCATCCAGTGAAAGGAGAATTTTGATCTGAAAGCTCATTTTGGTTTCTCTGTGGGTCTTAGATATATGAAATAGTTGCATGAGCATCGCTATATACACAACTTTGATTTCTGGATGTCAGATTTCAGTGGTTGCTCTTGAACTCATGGTGGGTCTGTGTAGCTGGCTTTTTGACCAAGGTGAACGTGGCAGGTACAGATTGAAAGTGACCTGTTTGTTCCAGCCAGTGCCTCTTTCAACCAGCCCTTTCAGCTTATTCCTACCTGCTGCCAGATAGCTTTCACCACAGGTCCCAGAGTTTTCCATTTGCTTTCAAGATAACGCAGCCCTAGTTTAATTTAAATAAGTTAACTTTTATCCGGAGAAAGCCTCTCCCTTGCCCGTTCAGGGCTGCTCTGCTCAGAGCCTGCGGCGCCCTCCGTGGGGCCGTGGGGGGGGCCCTGCTCTGTTCCCTGCCCTGCATTTCTCCTCCCCGCTATTCTCCGGACCCAGTCTATCTCCTGCAGGGTGAGCTTGGAGGTGAAGGGAGGAGGAACAAGGATACTCTGCTGGCCAAGGGTGTTTATTGTCTGGCCCTGGTGTCATGGAGTGTCGTGTTGGTGTTCTACTGCTGCTTGTAGCTTACTGCCCCAGGTTTGATGGCTTGGAACCACAGCAGTGCGTCATCGCCTCGTAGTTCTGTAGGCTGAAGCCCAGGACGACTCAGCTGGGTTCTCTAGGGTGACAAGGCTGAAGTCGGTGTTGGATGGGTGGACTCTTCTTCAGAGGCTTTGGGGGAACACTCTTCCTTCCAAGTTCATGTTGTTGACAAAATGCAGTGCCCAGGTGTTGTAGGTCTGGGGTCCCAGCTTCCTTGCCGGCCGTCATCTGGGGCTGCCCTAGCCTCGAGAGGCCCCATTCCTCTCCTTCACACGGGCCCTCATGTCCAGACACGCCAGATCCATCTCACGCTTAGAATCTCTCTGAGTCCCCTTCTGTGGCATCTCTTGCCTTCATGCGGAGAAAGTTCTCTGCTTTTAAGGGTTTGTATATTAGATTGGGCTCACCCAGAAAATCCAAAATACTTCCCCTGATGTAAAGTTTGTAGCCTTAAGGACATGGAGAAAGCCCCCTTTGCCACGTGATTTAACGTATTTACAGAGGCCAGGGGTTAGGGCATGGACACCTTTGGGGGACCATTTTGCCTGCCACAGGTATTCCTGTCGTTTAGTCACTAAGCTGTGTCTGACTCTTGCAACCCCAAGGACTGTAGCCCACCAGGCTGCTCTCTCCATGGGATTTCCCAGGCACGGATACTGGAGCGGGTTGCTGTTTCCTTCTCTAGGGGATCTTCCCGACCCAGGGATTGAACCTGTGTCTCTTGCCTTGACAGGCAGATTCTTTCCCATTGAGCCGTCTGGGAGGCCCTGGCTAGTGGTATAAGAGATTACAATGTGATTACAAACGCCTCTCTCCTGTGGAGTTCCATGGCTCTCCTGCTCGCAGCGTCACCTGTCATTCCCTCGGCACTGGTGGCGTCTCCTTTGAACGTCAGAGGAGCCTTCCTCCCCGGCCTCCCATGAGCCTGTTCCTCTCGTGGGTCCCCCTGGGGTGCAGTGCCTCTGAGCCGGCCAGCCCTGCTCCTCTCCAGGATCCGTACCCTCCATAGAAGCTAGTGTGTGCTGTGTCCCAGCCCCTGTCTTGTTCCGTTCAGAGCCTGGCCTCCACAAAGAATAGTTTACTCTGGCGCTTTCTACCCATAGCTTTTCACTTGGGAATCATTTTGTTGCAGATGTGTACCCCTCTAACTGCAAGTGGCTTTCCAGCCATCATATCCTCCTTGCAACATGTCACACTGCACAGCTGGCCCCTTGCGTTTCTCGTTTTCCCTTGGGTGTCAGGACACTTTCTTCCTTCTCCTGATTTTCCTCCTCTCTAGCCAGTTCACTCTGGTTTACTTTCCATGTTTCTTCCTCTGTCTGTGCTTTTATTTCCTCTGAGTGTTGCCTCTGTCCCTTTTGTTATGTCTTTATCTACTTTGGTTCACCATAGACTCCTTCTGGGGGATTGGAGCCCTTTCATATTGTAGAATATCCCATATATTCTGACAGTCAGCTGTGTCTCTTACAAAGAGCAGCTATAATTGAGCTCTTTAAAAGATGTTAAACCTCAATTCATTTTCTTATTTTTTCCCAGTGTTATTGAGTTAAATTGACATTTAATATTGTGTAAACTTAAAGTACACAATGTGATGATTTGATAGATGTATATTTTTTTAAAATGATTGCCACAATAAGGTCAGTTAACACATCCATCACCTCACATAATTATTGTTTTTTGCCCTGTGGTAAGACCGTTAAGATTTACTCTCTTCAGATCTTTCAAGTGTGATTTTTTTTGTAAAACTAGAGTTACCATACTGTTCATTACATCCTAAGAATTGATTCATTTTTTAACTGTTAATTTGTACCCGTTGACCTTTTCCCCACCCCTCAGCCCCTGGCAACCACCAATCAATGCTGTTTCTATGAGTTTGGTATTTTAAGATTCTACATTTCAGTGATAACATACACATTTGTCTTTCTCTACCTGATTTATTTCACTTGGCATAGGGTTCTCAGGGCCCATCTGTGTTGCCACAGGTGGCAAGATTTCCTTTTTTAATGGCTGAATAGTATTCCATCACACCCTGTCCCCTCCCCCCCACACCCACACCAGTTTCTTTATCCATTTATTTCTCAACAGATATTTAAGTTGTTTCTTTATATTGGCTATTGTAAGTAATGCTGCATTGAATAGGGGCATGAAGATATCTTCTCAAGTAAGTGTTTTTACTTTCTTCAGATAAATAGCCAGAAGTGGAATTGTTGGATCATATGATAGTTCTATTTTTAATTTTTCAAGGAACATCCATACTACTACTACTTTCCACAGTGATTTTAACAATTTGCATTCCACCAGGAGTGCATTTTTTTCACATTCTCCCCAGCACTTGATACTTCTTTTTGACACCATTCTAACTATGTGAGGTGATGTATCATTGTGATTCTGATTTTCATTTCCCTGATAATTAGTGGTGTTGTGTCTCTTTTCATGTACCTGTTGGCCATTTGTTTAACTTTTTTGGAAAAATGTTTTTTTAGTTCTTTCCAATTTTAATCAGATAATATTTCTTTGCTTTTTAGTTGTATGAGTTCTTTATGTATTTTGG